GCGATGCCATGATTGACATTTGACGGCTTGACGCGAAGTCGCGAACGAAACGACCGCGGGCAGCCGGACCGCGGGCAGCGGTCACGCGGGGGGAAGCTCGAAGCCGGACCGCGGGCAGCAGGGCAGCCAGCCGGTCACGCGGGAATCGGGATTCACCAATTCGGGCAGGGGGCGGAATTTCGAATTTATTTAAATTAAACGGGTTGGCGGGTTAACCCGGCAACCCGCCGGGTCAACCCGAACCCGACCCATTTTTTAAACGGGTCAATTTCTGGAACCCGAACCCGACCCGTTTTGAAATCGGGTCGGGTTCAACCCGAATTTTCCGGGTCGGGTTTTTGTGTCGTGTCAAATATTGACACCCCTGGCTATAACCATGCTAGGGGCATTGACATAAATGACTTTTTGAGGTTGTAGCATGAGCTGCCCCTTGTCAAGAATCATTTCTCATAGTTGACATAAAACTATTATGTGCTAGAACATTTTTTATGATAGAGAGGTAAATTAATGTGTTAGCTTCATGTAAAGATCAAACACATACATATATAAAAGAGGAGTTGCAAGAGACACCGAAGTTTTTACATGAAAAATCCAAAAAGGCAAAAATCATGTGATGTGATCTAGTTGAAATGATTTCACTATTGTTTATCATTTGCTATAAATAGAGTTCGTCCCCTTGATTGGAAAATATGTTGGTAGCGATAAACTATTCATTACCTATTTCATCGTGGAGATTAAACGAGTCTCATGGTATGGGAGTTGTCCCATAGTATCAAATGTCTCTTATTGATTTCATAGATCATAGATCATTCTTTAAGCATTTAAGTGCTATAACAATGCAAAACTAAAGGCTTTTTGGCTCATTGGATTCATCTCAGTGTGATGCTCAATTTTACTATAAGCATGTGAAATTTAAAGATTATTTGGTCATTCGATCAATGTCCCAAAGTTTTCAATTCCACTTCAATTGCTTGATTTGGGCTCCTTTAAAGTTAGATCGAATCGCTTTTGTTTCTAATGAGATTGTCTTGAGACACTAAATATAAATATAAATTTATTAAAATTTGAGTCAAGTTAATTTTGAATTTAATTCTAGAAAATTTGAATGTACATTCAAGTTATTTTTTAAGAACCTATCAATCTTGTAATTTGTATCAAATATCTTACTATTGATTTATAATAAAAATTATACTTAGAAAAGATATAAAAATCCTCATGCCATATTAATCAATAAAAACTTTTTAAGAAAATATGTAAAAATGTAAGATATTAAAAAGTTAAAAACACTCCTTCAATAAAAAATGTAAAATATTTTTCTCCTTTCAAATATTATTTTGTATAAATTTATTTACATATTTATGGCAGTAATACCTTCCTCTTGAATTAAATATGTTTGTATTTTTATATATTACGAACAAAATCTGCCGGATTCTGTAAATTATTTAAAACTTCAAAAATTTGGACGGTTCAATCATTTTCGCTACGGTTGTGTGCGGTGCTATTATTTATTTCTCATATTGCCAGTCGCCGCCGCTTCGTGTAAGTTCCGACGACCCCTCCGTTCATCCACACCCAACGCGATTATTAGCCAAAGATTATGGATGGACCGAGGCGGGCAGTGCACGGCCCGACGGCCGTAGCGGTCATTTGGGTTGCGCTGATGCTTTTGGAGGTCTCCGTCGATGGGCGGCGGTTGGCGGCAGAGGCGAGCAGGGGGAGGCTTGTTTTGGATAATGGCCTTGGCCGAACTCCACCGATGGGGTACGTTATGCGTTATTTTCCGGATACTTTCTTGTTTGATTGATTACTCTTTCTGTTTCTTTTGTTTGATTTGGTTTGAGTAATGGTATAGGTGGAATAGCTGGAATCATTTTCAGTGCAGCATCGATGAGAAATTGATTAGGGAAACTGGTACAACTCTCTCTCTCTCTCTCTCTCTCTCTCTCTCTCCGCCTCTCTCTTTCTCTCTCTGGGTGTTTTATTTTCTCTCCTTGCTCTCACAGTTTCCCTTTCTTGCTCTTGTGATCTGTTTCTGGAGCGAGCTCTCTTGTTTGCTTCCGTTGTTTGTGAAATGAAGCTTAACAATGTCTAGAATCTACTGCTTATGATATTGGAACACGTAACTAGTTTGATCAATTTCAGTTTGATTGAATATATTATGAATGGGGATATTTCCGTCTGTGTGTGTGTGTGGAGTGAGATTAATTGATATAAATTTTCAACTTTTTTCTCACGCTAAATCGTGCTTATAGTTGACACTCAACACCAATGTCAAGCTGCTTTTCCCTACCGATGAATTTTCAATTCTTCATATTAACCACTGCGAACTAAGTCAAAGTCGGCATGGATGGTCTGGTAAATTATCTGATGTGATGCTAAATTTAATATTTTTATATGACTGAACAAGTATTTCTCTCACGTGGGTGCTGTACATACCGCCATCACTCTCTAAAACTTTTTTTTTTCTTTTTGGAACAATCAATTGTCATTTATCAATATCCCACTCACTATGCTGTGTCACTATAACTCAAGATTGGGGTGGATGTGAGCCCTTATAGAAAAGGAAGCTTGAAGTTATCCTTAAGGTTTTTCACTGATGTCCTCACTACCATATTATTAATAGAGCTAAAGAAGTATGATTATCAAGGATTTGATATTATATTGTTATTGAAATAATTTAAAATATTTTAGAAGGGACATTAATTTTTTGAGTGATCTCATCATATATGGGTGATGATTTGATTGACTTTCGCTCTGTGAACTAGAGGACCAACATCTACTTGGCTTGAAGAGCCAAATTGCCTCCCCTCATGTTTCTATGAGACCCAACCACTACCACAAATTCTAATCCTTTGCATATTTGCATAGAAATTAATCAAATGATGAAATATTACATCATTGACATTGTAAATAAATGACAGAATATAAATGCAAAGACTTAGAGTCATGATTTTTAAATTTATATGATGAAAAAGCTAGAATACAAGCAAAATCAAAACCATCAGTATTGTATGAATAAATTCAACTAAATATAATACAAAGAGTTAGAGCCCATGATATTTTATAACTTACATTATTGAGAAATTAGAGCACCCAAGGCAATAAATGCCATAGGAAAGTAAATTATACGTAAATACAAAGAGTTAGAGCCATGATAAAATTTGTATAATTGAAAATTTTGAGCACAAATATAATTGAAACAATTAATATTGCACAAACATTAATATCAAAACTCTTAAAAGACCTCTTTATTCAGTTATGTTTGTTGCTAAATCAAAAATATGACAATTGCTTGTACCATATATAATTTAAGGTAATTTAGATACCTTTCGAAATACTTCTTCTCGAAAGATTTGAGGATGATAATCCGATTCAATAACACATTTTTTGAATTTGTCCTTATATTTTTGGTAATGCTAATTTCCCATGAGTACCCCACCAACATAACATGACATGAAGTGGTTCACATGATAATAACTTTCATTAAAAGTTCCATTTCTTACATTTATCACAAGTAGGTGCTCCTTCATTCCATTTTTTGTTTCAGCTCATCAATCAACAATCCTAGAGAGACATTGAATTTTCTTATTGGACTTATTGTTTTAAGGATGATTAATGATAAAAAGATTGGATCATGCATATAATAAGTTATATGCAACAACAAATACCGGCCAACATATATATGAAATACTTGATTGCACAAAAGGATTGAATCCATTCATATATATATATATATATATTAGAGTTAAACATTGCACATATTTGAACTAGATGATGGATATATACGATCAAAGTGTTTCCAAGCTTTACCGCCTAAGGGATATGTCAACATGCCCTCAATACTTGTTCATTGCATGATAAATCATATACTATAAAGTCTTATATCACATATATAAACTTTGAAGCCTTGAAGTCAATGGAAAGTATTGTTGAACCTTATACGGCACAAGATTGCATCAAACACCCGAATATTTTCTTTAGCTTATATTTAGGGTGCCCACATACAATGCATTCTAATAAATGAATTTTATCTTTGTAAAATAGTATATAGTTATTTCCATAGATATCAATTTTCTCAACCTTTGGCCATATTCCTTGAATCTTTTTTTTCTAGTTAGATACATTTCACTTTTTAATTTCTCATCCTTTGTAATAATGAAAAATAACAATCATGACAAACATTATAAACATTAAATCAAGTTTATAGTTCATCAAATGAGCATCTATTGATAACTTTGAATGTCACTTGCAACTTTCTCATGGAAGTTCAACATTTACTACTATAGCGTAAAACATTGCTGCTTCTTTATTTAACGCTTCTTTAATTTTATAACTGTAAATATCAACCATATATTATTCACCAGCTAGTGGACTATATTGATTTTTTAACCTATTAATATGAGATTCAGGATCAATTGCATCTTATGATGTCGACTCCAAGCAAATATTTCTCTTAATCAATGATTTGCGTTGACTTATTTGATTGAATGTCTTCTAATGAACACTTTCTGATAGAGATTAATTGTGCAATCATCATATGTATAAAAATATTTGTTATCACATTACAAAAATATGAATATTTAACCTTATTTAATGATACATTCATAACTTGTCTGAATAAAAAATTTAGAAACTGCCATACATCATTAATAAAATCATATAATAGGTATCATTATTGTCTGGACAATGATATACGTTCACTATCACAGCCCATATCTTATACATTAATAAAAAGAAGTAGCAATTGGCAAGCAAGGATTATTACAAAAGTATGAAGAATAATAAGACATGGTTGAAGTTGAACCATAATGCGATTAATCATTGCATTCCTTAATGATTGGACATTTACCTTCATCATTAATGGGGAGTCTATAAATATCACCTCTTAACAACAAATATTCATATATTGATTAGTGTCTTGATAGTTAATGAGTATGAGTAAACTTATAGTCTATATCATGTAGATGGTGATGTGGGTTGAGTGCGTTCAATAGAGCTAGTCAATTGAATGAATATTTCAGAAGGAACTGTCACCAATACGCTTAGTTTTTCCCATATTGTATTCCTTTGATAACTTTGTTTTGTCATATTGGCACACTTAGTTAAATTAACTCTTAACTGTTAAAATATGAAACATTATTTAATATTAGTTATCTTATTAACATGAGCTTGATCCTAACAAAGTGACATCAATTTAACATGTCATGAAGAAGATTCCATTCAAATCCTATTTTCAATATTGTTTTCATGCATCTATTATGTATTGAACTTGATTGATAACAAGATTCTCCATATTTAAAGAAACCATGACATATGGTTTATCCAACTTTACACCTAACTCATCTTAGTTAGTTTAATATAATCATAAACTCAAAATTAAATATCCAGATAATGATACACATTATTAAATACAATTTCTATCCAAGCATACCTAAATAATGCTAAATTATAGTTAATATATTAGGTTCTAGGTTTTGAATTAAGTTCCTTCCAGACACAAAGCATGTTGGTGGGATTTGAATGCATGGTCACTAGAGGCTTGTGCTTGCCAAAGAAGGTCACATTGAAGGGGTCACTAGAGGTTCATAGTCATAGTCATTATCAATTCGGATGTGTAGTTGCTCCTGAGGTGTGCTATCATTGGCAGTACAAGTAGAGTGTCTGAAGGAACGCGATTGATGTCAATTCATGTGTGTGGTCGTTAGAAGGATTGCACTGGAGAGATTGTTGAAGCATTGTAGTTTGTGGCCATTAGTGATTCAGATGTGGGGTTGTGTTGGAGGAGTGAGGTTGTTGGCGGTTGAATGCAGGTCATGGTTGGCATAGATTCGTATTTTTGGATTCATTGTAGGGAGGGTTATAGAGACAACAAAATTGGAAAGGGAAAGAAAAAAATGTTGATTAAGGATTGTGGCTCTGATTTTAGCTGGTTGTGGCTGCACTTGCAAATGGTAGCAAAATTGGTCATAAGAAATAGCCTCAACTAAAGGTCAGGCCTAATCATGTAATGATATAAAAAAGTTATTTTATATTTTAATTGGACCTGACCATCAATTGTAAATCTTAAGTAAATATTATTTTTGGGACTACTCAATTATGCGTTGTTGTTATATGAGCTATTTGTTATTGAACCTTACTTGACTGTAGTTGAGGGCCACTATTACCTAAGAGAGCTACAAAATACATGAACCTCTTAGTTGCAGTCAAATCATCATCTATGATGCCACATGTGAGAGTGTGAATTAAAGGGGAATTATGTGGAACATTATACGCTAATGGCCAAACTTTATAATTTCAACCTAAAACTAAGTTTTGGGTAGGGGCAAATCACAGTTGGAACAGTCGGTTAAATGGCCTTGTGGCCTCTACTTGCCTAGTTGCTGGATCTCCATTGTCGAGGCATTAACATATTCCTTGAATATTTTTTTATGATCTAATAAAGATAGTTTAGTTTCTAAATTTCAAGGGTCGTATGTGAAAGGAGAAATGAAAGGCCATTTAAATTATTATTGGAATTCATAATAATGGGGATAATGTTATAATTATGTTTCATTGTTTACATTCAAATCCAACCTCAGGGCTCGCAAAACAAATATAATGTCTAAGAACTCCATTGTATTAGCAGTTTTTTTTTCCTACATAAACTTAAATGAAACACAATCATAGTACTCATTTTCATTAAATAATTTTATTTAATGGTGTAGCTGATTCCATGGTCTCGACTGGTCTATCATCATTGGGCTACAAGTACATAAATATAGGTATTTAATAAAGAAAATACTTCTAGTTCTCAATCATTTATCTCTGATTGATTAATCATTCAATTTCTATCAGATGATTGTTGGGGTGAATCAAATAGAGATTCCCAGGTATGCAACTCTAGCTCCTCTATTTATTTGTTTAGCTAGTGTTTGTTTTGAATGGATTGAAAGAGAGGAAATAAAAAATCAAGGAAATGTTAAAAGATTTGAATTAACATTACTTTTCACTTACTGGTTTGGTTGAGGAGAAATTGAGGGATTTTTTTACTTTATTTCTTGTTTGCAACTTTGGCCGGTCTTTTTTTTTTACCTCTATTTTGTTGGAAAGAATTGAAAGAGAGGAAATAAAGGAAAATTAAATGGTAAAATTATTGAATTGAAATTTGTTTTCACTCACTTGTTTGGTTGAGGAGAAATCAAGTGAAGAAAAACATATTTTTTCTTGTTTTATTTGGTTAACGAGAACTTGAGTTTTTGCAAGCCCCACCAACCCCCAATTTTTTCTTCTTATTTTTAATGAGGATTTGGTTTGGAATTATTAATGAAAAATACATTTTGTTAATATTTATTAGGTAAATCCAATTGCTTTTATGATTACATTTGCTAAAATTTATTAGTTAAATTGAATTGCGTTTAGGGTTCATTTGATGTTTGTACATAGAAGTTATATGATATGCCTTAGGTGAAAACACGAGATAGCACAACAAAAACAGCAACTAATTGAGAAATAAGGGACAATTTTTTTATTAATGCTCCAATACAAAATTAAGATATAATGATCTACAAATAAGAGGTAGATCGTCTCTCTAGCTAAACCTAGACGTCGCTAGGAAGCCCTCACACAAAAGAAAATTCTAGCGAACACAACTCAAATTTTGCATAAAACAAAATAAACCCTAAAATTCGCCTTAAATTAGCTCTCCCACCTCTCCTAAAACAGCCCCCTTTCCAAATATATTTTCCTCCTAATTTAACCTTGCTGCGTTAATTAATTCCTTCTCTTATTTGAATTTAAACTAGGAAATTCCTTTCCTAATTATTCCCCTCCTAACATAAGTAATTAGATTCTTGCTAGACCCTACCAAATCAACTGCCTGGCCTCCCCTTTCGCTCGCTAACCCACCTGGGCAGAAGGTAACTAAATCGGCTGATCCAGTTCTGCTGTTAGGGTTGCTGCCTTCGTATCATTATATTTTTGAAAGTGATAATTTTATTTACACTCTTTTTGACTGTGAAGATGAAATCATCACTTTTTTATAGATTTTGATGTTTTTATTGAATTTAAATCCATATTGATTTCTAACTAAATCCAACCAAATAGAGGAATATAATATATTTTGCTGGATCCAAAATTTTCCATTGGCAAAACGTAACCCTATTAATAGATTTTGGCCGAGCGAGAGAACCTAGTGAGAAAATCAACAAGTGTGGAGAGTAAGAAAGTAGCTCAAAGATTATAGGATTATAGGAAAGTCTACATTTTGAAAAAAAATGAAAAAATAATGCATAATGTGAATGGTGTACTCAATTGGATTGTACATGGCCCGTTATCCCTGACAAGGCCTCTTGTGAGTACCTTGGATGTGTCTTCAAGGGAGAGTGTCCTAGGAGAGTTGGTATCTAAGACAAGCATGTGAAGGGGGTTCTTAGGGATAAATGCCAAGTCCCTTGGGTGAAGAGTTGTTGTGGACTAGGGACGAATACTGACACCGAAATAGTTGTACAAGATTAAAAAAAAAAGACAAATAACCTAGAACTAACAATATAGGCCTTCTTGAATGCTAAAAGAAGATTTAGATGAATCTTTGTTGCAGATTTCTTGAGCTGGAAGAAGGGGATAGCGGCTGAAATTGGGCAAAAGTAGTTGTTTGGAGAACCAGGAAGTGGACATCAAGACTTTGCTATTTGGATCATTTGGAAAAGGTATAGTAGCCCACAAGTAGGCTACTGGAAGAAGACGACACCCTTCTTGGATGCTGGACTGCACTTCTAGACTAGTGGAAGGAGAAAAACGCCCACCTGCAGGAGTGGTAGAGATTGGAGGCTGGAATAGAAAGGGCGGACAACCTCTTGGCAAGAGGAAGAGGTGGCGCGAGAGCTCCTTCACCTTGCTGGGATGATAACTGACAATTGGAAGGAGATCGAGTAGGCCATCACTTGGAAGAATCCATGATATAGAAAAAGAATAGCTCTAGCTATTCATGCAAAACCCAAAATCTGATTTACAAGGGTTAAGCATCTTCTATTTATAAGCTTAGGACAATAATAAATGAATAGGTCTGGTCAGCTATTAAACTTGTCCAAGATTGCATCAAACTGGTCAAAGCCTGCGTCATTCTCCCCGGCTTGGAGAGGCTTCGTCATAATCGAAATCTGATACTACTTCATAATGAGAGGTTAAGTCTCAAATGTTGAAGGTAGTAGAAATTTGATAATCATCGTCAGTTTTAGTTGATAAGCATTGTTTATGAATTTGATAATGCGAAAAGGTCCATCAGCTTTTGGTTTTAATTTGCTATAAGGGCCAGGTGCAAATCGTTCCTTTCCCTGCTTAATCCAAACTAAATCACCCACTTTGAAAGTTCGATGTTTTCTATTTTTGCTGGCTTGTGCTTGATGAAGAGAGTATCTTTCACCCCAGTCGATTTAGAATATCTGATAGAAGGTGATTCACTGCTACTAATTGAACTCCCTAGATGATGTGGCCTCCCAACCTCTGTTGTTTGTACTGACCCATCAATTGATCAAGGATGACAAAATTATTGGATTTGATTGAGTTAGCCATCCATTTGCTATATATAAACCCATCTTACAACCATGAATTTAGAGTGCAACGAGAGAGTCTTGGGCTTCGGGTCTATATTGTAATTAATCATGTGGGCTTATGCCAACAGGAGATCTCGATCCCCCATAATACAAACTCTAGATAGTTTGAAGTATTGTCTAGGAGAAATTGGGAAAGTGAGGTAGTCTGCCTTTGAAATGCTATGTTCCTTAGCATTCCCTACCCAATGGTACAAAAGAGCAAGAAGGAAATATATTGCACCATGGCTACAGCATGGTTTCCTTTTGTTTTATAATAGCTCATTGATTGTGTAAGATTGATTTTACAATACCTTGTCATTATTAGTTCAGTTATAGCCGATTTTGGTCCATCCAGTTTAGCAATATAGTTGTATAGATTCAGCTGACTATCTAAATGCAAATGAGGGGGAACCATACACTCCCTCTCTTTCATTAATAAGTAAAAAAAATTTAATGAGAAAAAGGATTCGTGTAGCCAACCACACGTAGTGGGATAAAGACTTGATGTTGTTGTTGTTGTATGATTATAATTGAATGAGAAAAAGGATTCCTGCTCAGATTTCAACCATATGACTTGTATGATTACAGTTTTCAACCCATAATTTAAATTTAATAATCCTGCTTGTCAGTACTGTCTACATTTGTCTGTTCTGTTACAGGGTAATTTGGTCCCAAAAGCATCAACATTCCCCTCAGGCATTAAGTCTCTTGCAGACTATGTTCATGGAAAGGGTCTCAAGCTTGGAATCTACAGTGATGCAGGGTAAAATTTTAAGGCCTCTCTTCTAACGCAATCACTTTCTGATGCTTAGTTCTATACAAATCAAACAATGTTATGTTATTGCTTTTTGAGCACTGCCACAACACAAACTGTTATGTGTTTTTTAAATATTCAGGACACAAACATGCTCGAAGACTATGCCAGGATCACTAGGACATGAGGAGCAAGATGCCAATACCTTTGCTTCATGGGTATGATCGATTGATATTAAGAATTTAGTTGGTTCCGTTCTTCTCCTGATAATTTTTTTCACGAACAGTTTTGATTATATACAAATATATTTGAAAATACTATTTTATGCACGCATTTCTTACTCGTTCAGCAATTCATATTTGTGTGTAAGAGTTTGACTTCTGCTTCGTTTGGGATGACTTTCTTGTTGCTTCTTAAAGCAGCTTTCTAGTATAAAAAATTTAATTTTTTACTAAAGAGCTATTTTAAGAAGCAACAAAAAAGCCATCACAAACAAAACCTTCATTTCATATAGTACAACAAAAGCATAGCATCGGCACAATTATATCCATAGAAGCATGAAACATGATTCCAGGCTTTATATGTTAGAAAAATGGCCAAAACTATTAACCCAAGGCAGCATATTTTTTTCAGCATTGAATGATGGGATTATGATTTTCTTAGTACTGATTCTTTTGACTGACTTTATCTTTCTTCTTCTCAAAGGAAGTGGACTATTTGAAATATGACAACTGCAACAATCAGAATGTTAATCTGAAAGGAAGGTAATATGCTTCGCATCTTAATGCAAATGCTTGCAAGTCTATGCTGATTTGATACAATGCCAGTCCTTCCCATTTCAGTACAAAAAATGGTACTCAGAAAGCTTGAATAGAAAATTGTAACTTGAATTTCTGACGTCTTTGAAAATTGCTTCCAAATTGAAATAGGTACAAGAATATGAGCCAGGCTCTTCTGAAATCAGGAAGGAGCATCTTCTTTTCTCTATGTGAATGGTATGCCTGTTAATATGTCCTTCCCTAAACAATTTAACTTCAAGCAACTAGATGAATTTTGCCACAATGGTTTGCTTCTTCAGGCAACTAAACTTGCATTCTTACAGGAATGAATAGAATTTTTTGACTAGATCCTATGAGCTGAATAAGCTAAACTTGATGCTTATTTTCAGTATAGCTAAGGTGTTAATGAGCTGAATGTGAATGAATTTGGGTCCTGTTCAACTTGGTTAATTTAAATATCAAGCTGGATGCAAACAGACTCAAGTTCTTTAACTCGTATTAGGCTCATTTATCATTGTGTCAAAAACGAATGGTAAGCCAAATCAATGACTATCAAATGGATCAACTTTTTTTTGTTTGAGAAATCCAATTATGTGAAAAATATTTTGATTTTTATGGAGTGTACTTTTAGTAATAATAGATCTAGTTGGGGAATTGTAACTTTGGGCAATCAAGTCATTAATAAGAGTACACATTTTAGATATCTTGATTCTATTGTTCATAGTGATGGTGAAATAGATGGGGATATTATTAGTAGAATTCAAATTGGATGGTTGAAATGGTGAAATGCATCAGGCTTGTTGTGTGATAGAAAAGTCCCTCTCAAACTTAATGGAAAATTCTATAAGAGGATAGTGAGACCTGCAATGCTTTATGATGTAGAATGTTGGCCATTAAAAGAGAAGCATAATATTAAGTTAAGTGTTGTAGAGATGAGGATGCTCAGATGGATGAGTTGCTTTACTCTTAGAGACAGGTTATGAAATGAGCATGTAAGTAAAAAGGTTGGAGTAGCTCCAGTGGAAGATAAGATTAGAGAGAGTCGTCTTAGATGGTTTGGTCACATAAAACGGCGGCCTTCCGATGACCTGGTTAGGAAAGTAGATGTATTAGATTTGACGTATGTTAAGAAAGGTAGAGTTAGACCTAAAAAGAATTCGTTATAAAATATTAGAAATGACATTTCTTTATTAGATTTAGATGAAAATTTGACTCTTCACATGATACAATAGAGAAAAATGATTCATGTAGCCGACCCCACATAGTGGGATAAAGACTTGTTGTTGTTGTTTGTTTGTTGTTGTATTGATATCTTTTAAGCAGCATAGAACTTCAAACATGTGTTCATGAGTTTTAGAGTATATGTGGTGTGTGAATTGAGCTCCTATCGAGCCAAAAAATATGAAGTGGTTCTTGCTTGAGTTGGACTAGTTCGGTAAAGAAGTAGAAAATCTTATTTAATCTTGACTCCTTAACGAATTTAAGCCATCAGCACGCCAAAGACAAGTTGTTCAGAAACAATAAGCTTTTCTAACAACCATAACTATCCATGGCATCTTTTTATTTGATCGAGATTGATAAGGATAAGAATCATAATATGTATAGAAAATATAATTTACTCTGTCATTGCTGTGTGCGTGAAATAAATTGAAGTTTATGTCTTCTTCCAGCTTGTTTATATCCATTAATCCTGCATTAAAATTGCATAGGGGGCAAGAAGACCCAGCAACCTGGGCTGGCAGTGTAGGAAATAGCTGGAGGACAACAGGTGACATTGAAGACAGCTGGGACAGGTACTAGTTGCATTTTGTATTTAATTTAATTTTTTTTTTGGGAAGAGTTTCATTGGTTTCTTCCAATTTGGTTTTTAAGCTTATTTCTTATGTGAACCTATGATTTAGCATGACTTCGCGAGCCGATCTAAATGACATATGGGCATCATATGCTGGACCTGGTGGATGGAATGGTAACTTATTTGATCTTTAGTCTTTGTTTGGGACAGCTTTCTTACTGCTTTTTGAAGTAGTTTTCTATTACAAACTTTCAAATTTGAAAAATTTTTTACTAAAAATTGCTTCATAAAACAGTAAGAAAGCTATCTCAAACGAAACCTTAATGATTCATTTGGCTGAGCTTGTCCTTTCCCTTAATTGTGTTTTGTTATTGAAAAGCTATTTTATGAATAATTTTAAAATTCTTTTCTGAAAGAAAACTCTCTTAGAACTTTATTTTTAATAGAAGTTCATCAGTATTCACCTTACGACAGCATTATCAATGAACCCTCTGTGTATTTGTTGCTAAAGATATTGAATAGATAGATCGCTAGAGATTCATGACCAAGCAACATCCTCTCTGCATTTCAGAACTTCCCTCCCACTTAAGCATAGAAAAAACCTATTTATCCAATTACCATGACATTTATATGCTGCTGCTGCTTTTAATTCTCCATAAGAGGATGAAAGTCGAACTCAAATCATACTACTTCTTTTTTGTTTTTCAGATCCTGATATGCTTGAAGTAGGCAATGGTGGCATGACAATTGAGGAATATCGATCACATTTCAGTATATGGGCATTGGCTAAGGTTCCTATTCTTCAGCTGCAAAATTTTTGTATTTTCTTTCTAAATATTGATCAAAAAAGCTTGAAACCTGTTCAGGCTCCTTTGCTTATAGGATGTGACGTGCGCTTCATGAGCAATGAGACGCTTGCAATACTAAGCAACTCAGAGGTCATTGATGTTAACCAAGGTTAGCACTTACAGACAACAGTAAATTCAGAAAGTCTAGCTAACTATGATTTATTAGAATTCCCTTCTTTTTTTCTTGAGAATAGATAAACTTGGAGTTCAAGGGAAGAAAGTAAAATCTAACGGCAACCTTGAGGTTTGGCTTCCTTCCAATTTCGTTAGATCAACAGTTCTTTTCAAGCATAGGAATAGGGGAAATCTATATCTGAAATAAAAACTAGTGCTTCGTTTGGGACAGTTTTTTTACTGCTTCTTGAAACAGCTTTTTAATACAAAAATTTTAATTTTTATATTAAAAAGCTGCTTCAAAAAGCGGTAAAAAAGTCGTCGCAAACGAAGCCTAACTCATTTGTTTCAACAAAGCATGTAGACCATGCAAAAGTACTGAAGTGTGATTTACCGCATAATATTAGATAAATCTCTCTAGCTTTATGTGAATAGGTCTTAGAGTAAAGCTGCCTGTTAAGAGAACAAAAATGAAAGAAAATCTCAAAAGTCAGATTTTACTTGATAAATCTCATTATTGTTCCAATCATTATAAAGGTTTGGGCTGGTCCTCTCAGTGGAGGAAAGGTTGCTGTAGTTCTATGGAACAGGGGATCTTCTCAGGCATCAATTACTGTAGACTTTGCTGATATAGGTCTGAATTCATCATCTGTTGTTGGCGCTCGTGATCTATGGAAGGTAAATTCTACCAAAAAATTTTGTTTTTTAGTTATTAGTTTATTTCTATAAATGATATTTGTTTACTCTTTTTTTCTGGAAATAAATATTTCTTTATGTTCATTTATTTGTCTAAAGTTGCTTATATAGGCTTCGTTTGGGATTGCTTTATTGCTGCTTTTTAAAGCAGCTTTTCAGCATAAAAATTAAAATATTTGTACCAGAAAGCTGCTTTAAGAAGCAACAAAAAAGCCGTCCCAAACAAAGGCATAATGTATAATAATTTCCTTTTTTTATCTTATCAGCATTCAACTACTTCTGCTGAGGGGAAACTGACTGCCACAACTGCTGCTCATGCCAGCAAGATGTATGTATTGACACCAAAATGATTAATCATCATCAAACTTGCAAAAATGGTATATAATTTGTATTGATTTACATGGCTATGTGAATTTATTAGCAGTGCTTTAACTATTGAAACAAATAATAAAACATGCAATAAAAGTTATGATTTTCCTTTGATTTTATTTATAATGTAATGTCAACAGGTTCTTAAAATCCTAGCATTTAATGTCATGGTTGGGTGTCCTAAAATTTTGATATTACTAGAACAATAGTCAAATTGATGTCAAAGTTTCATAAAAAATTATAGTAGCAATATTAGGGTTTTATAATAAACACTAATAGTGATGCTAAAAGTTTGTTTAAGATGACTGTAATTTTTTATAAAGGTGCTTGTAAGTTGTTGTGGGAAAATTAATTTTCTTAAAGCTACTGTAAAAAATAACTTTCTAGTAGGGTGTCAATATTTGACACGACTCGAAAACCCTACTCAAACCCGACCCGAAAATTTCGGGTTAGGGTCAACCCGAAATGGGTCAAGTTCGGGTTCAACATTTCAAAAATCGGGTCGGGTTCGGGTTAACCCTTTGACTCGAAATTGACTCGAAAACCCGATTTTGACCCGGCAACTCGAGATTGACTCAATTTTGACCCGTTTTTTTATCCAAAAAAGAGGAGATAGACCCGTTTTTTTTTACAAGAAAACTAGCAATTTTTTGTTGGAAACGGGTCATTCAAGTCGTGTCGGGTTGACCCGAAACCGAAGCAGGTCAGGAAAACTGAGGGTTTGGGTTGACCCGAATAGTATCGGGTCAGTTTCGGGTTCGACCCGAACTCGACCCGTGACCCGAAATTGACACCCCTACTTTCTAGTACAAAAATTTCTTGAAGTAGGAACACAACAACCAAATAGAAAATATGATTACTATCTGAAAAATAAACAGTGAGAAAGTTATCCCAAGCAGATCTGAGTTTTCAATAAATTTTTGTAATTTATATATTAGGGTTTCAAAAATTTTGACATAGAAGTTAGTATTTATTGCTCTTTAGTTTCAAAATAGGGTAACCACTTGAAGAAAATGATAAAAGTTACAGGAAACATCTTTTGGAATTTTCTAAAAGAATTTCAATGGAGTTCCAACAAAATTTCCATGAAAAAGCTTTATAAATTCTCTTATTGGATTAAAAACTGCCTCCTTGATGATGTTTGTCATTATGTCACTGTTTTCATTGTTGTCTTCATCTCTGCCATCAAAGGTATATTCTCACCAAATTTAATAGCAGTAATAATTTTTTAGCTTAATATTTTTTCAATTACAATATGAAGAAAAAAAAACAATGCAGTATGTTCCAATTTATATGATTCTAATAGTGAATTTATATATATAATGTATGTGTGTGTGATGAAGCTCGAATCTCAATGCAATAGTTGGATTAGAAAATTTTGGAATTAAAGTCAAGGCCATCCGAATTCTAATTTTAGCAAATTTATAGTTGAAATGAACATTTCAATGAAAGAAATTGAATGACACAAAAAATGATAGGACCTAGAGTTCAAATGAGTTGAAATCAAGCACTTGAATTGTAGTTAAAAAATTTATTATATTGATTGAGCAATCAAAAGGATCTATAAATCTTGTGTATTTGTAGTCAAGATGAGTGGTTCGACATATGAGAGAAATCCAATGAGTCCGAGATCATTGAATTCTGAAATTGTAAATGCACTTGCATTTAATGTCGATGATCACCGACAATCATCATGTCCCTACAGTTTGTGCTCGACCACCGGTATCTAATCGTTGTCACCTGACCCTCATCATCTAACTATCAATGTATGACTACTATCATCATCATTCACAGCTTCTCTAGCATTCTCTATTACAATCATAAGTTCTCATACTAGTGTTATATGCTTGTAATCTCGTCTTCAATAACCGAGTGAAAGAGTGCATCTATTAATATAATTGAAATTTTATCTGAGTTAAGACTCCATTATGCTTCCTTTTTCATGTTTTTCACACAAAAAATTTGGTATCTTTTATAATATTTTTTATTTACATCTATGTTGGATTTTTTTTAATAAAATTACGTCGTTAAACTTTCTTATTTTATTGCTATGAATATTTCTACTATATGCATAATGATTCACCTTAATCTAATTTTTTTTATATAAAAATATGAATTATTAGTAGGATTAAGATGGCTCAAATTGATTATGCATCGACCTAGGAGTGGAATGAGTGGAGTCATCCCTGATTTAATTAATCGAGTTCGAGTTTTATTTTAAGAGTTCAAGTTGGCTCATGAACCCACTTGTTTATTATGAAAAAATGAAAATGATTATGATTTAAGCAACTATTATATTAAAATAATAAAAAATGAGAAACTAGAAAAAAAAAATAACAAAAAATGACTTAATGTAAGAAATTGAAAAATATTTTTTCAAACATTTTTAATAATTTGGTACCTAAAATTTTAAATTTAAATGAGAATTTGACTTTTTACCGGTCACAATGGCGAAAAAGGATTCTTGTAGTCGACCCCACATAGTGGGACAAAGGCTTGATGTTGTTGGTACCTAAAATTTTAAATGTTAATATATTTTAATTGCATTTAAACTTAATATTGTTAAATGAGTGCGATCGTAAGCTAATGAGTCGTGTCAATGCTAGCTCAAGTTTGATTTGCTAGCTCATTGAGCTTGGGTAATTTATCAAGTCAAGCTCAAGTCAACTCACGAGTCAGCTTCATGCCTCTCTTGGCTTAGCTTATGTCCTGAGTATAAAAATATTTTCTTTATAAAATAGGCTCCAAGATTTTATGAAAAAGTTGGTCCTAGTATGAAGACACTTGAGGAAATGGATGGATCTTACAAGTCTATCATAGCCATGAACATGTCCATGAGAACAAAGGACAAGCCAAAAGACACAAAAGATGATGAGTGTTATATCATGGAACATGTAATGAATCCCATATGAAGAGACTAAGGCTTCGTTTGGGACGACTTTCTTACTACTTTATGAATCAGCTTTTTAGTATAACATTTTTTATTTTAATAATTTTTTGTGCTAAAAGATTGCTTTAGAAAGTAGTAAGAAAGTCGTCCCAAACGAAACTTAAATCTCAATTGAGTTGTTTAAGTATGTAAGCTTTACAAATCAATAAGGATATGCATATTATTGAAAGTTCAAGTGCCGTGTATATACATTTTATGACTTAGAGATCAATAATGAGGCTCTAAACTTCTTAAACTAGAGGGAGCCGCTAACATCATGTACTAATAACACTATAAAGAATGTATGCCCAAAATACTAGAGTTATTGTTGTCTTACATCACCAAAAAGATTGAGAGAGTTTCTCACCACAACGTCAAGCACACACTCACATCATTGGCAATTACATCCAACCAAACACCATCTAACTTTTATGCTCATCACCACATGTACATTCACATGCATATATCTTGGTTGAGGCATGCACACAACAGTGCACATTTCTATATGTTTCATGAACAGATATGCCTACGTGCACTTTACTCACATCGCAAGTGATTATACATATCTTTCCCAAACATATTTCACTAGCATTCCTCATTCTTGCAAGCCATTTTCACACCTCCATGCATTGCTCATCAACTATGTACGCACATATACATATGTCTCTTGAGTGCTACCTATGCGCACAGTGCTTGCACATGCTCATGGCATGGATTATTGCTGTCATTGTGAAGCACAGACATGCTTGGGTATGCATATGACATGCATGCATGCAACTCTATTGCTCACATAGAAGTTTCACTATTGATGTATGAAAACACACCTTTGTATGTATCTTCATATCAATATATAAATAAATCTTCTATGCACATTCTCACCAATGTCATGCATGCATTACATCATACGTGTACTATTGTCTCTTTGTGAAAGGCTTGATTGCTCATGCAATATCATCATATAACATGTGTATTGCTTGTCCCCTACGCAATTTTATGACAAGCACTCCTCTACACACACATACAAAAGCATTTATAAGTAAACAAATCTCTACCTACAAACATAATCTTATCCTTCTTAATTAGCAAAGCTCAACGAATGCCTAAAAGTTCCCTACCCCAATGTTTTGGGGTCTAAGTAACAGTAGTCCTATTATTTCCATCTAATTAAAGATTAATTTTGAGTGGTTAAGCACGTGCAGAAAATTAATTTAAAACTATATATAAATATTGTTTTTAAGATCTCTTTAGCATCCGTTGAGATGGCCGAGTTGGTCTAAGGCGCCAGATTAAGGTTCTGGTCCGAAAGGGCGTGGGTTCAAATCCCACTCTCAACATTATATATTTTTATATTTTTAAAATCGAAATAAATAAATTACATTTTCTCTTTTTCCTGTGGAGCCAAACAAAACTTTAATGACAAAAACAATAAATTTACATTCTCTCTAATTTTAAACTTTATTTGATTAATAAAAAATAATATTATTTCACTTCTAAGAAAGAGATATCACAATAATAACAGAATTGTTTTGTCTTCCTATTTTTATATTAGAATTAATCAGAAAAACATAAATAAAAAATATTTCTTATATATATTCTAATACACTAAATTAAATAGTTAAAAGGTTATTTGAGTATCATTTTATATTTTTATATTTTATTTTATTTTGATGTTCTTTTGATATAAAATAAAAATATATTTGTTGATATCATAAATAAGTATCTTTTTTAATTGAATATTATATAAGACAGTGATTAAGGTGATTTTTCATTTAAAAAAATAAAAGCACCTTAAAAATAACTTAAATTTTATTTTGATTATTATTGAAAAGTAGTTCCTTTAATTTTTAAAAATAAAAATAAATATAACAAAATCTACAAAATTCATATGTAAGTATGCTTAAAATATTTATATTAAAGAATATAGTAAAAGAGCAAAAATATATGAACCAGGACAAAATCAATATCCTTAAAAAATATTGTCATTCAAGTGACTATAATTTAGGCTTCATTTGGGAGAGATTTCTTTCTACTTTATAAAACTGCTATAAAAAATAATTTTTTAAAATTATTGAAGAAAGTTATTTGTTAGTACAAAAAATTTTTAGAAGAAATGAAAATATAATGGTTAAACAGAAATTGTGGCTACAATATGAAAAATAAAGCGATGAAAAAGTTGTCCCAAATG